TGTGTGTGTGTGTGTGTGTGTGTGTCAGCACAGATGACTGGTGGATGCAGAATCAAGCTGCCCAGAATAAAACATGAGGCTACCTTGTCGTCAAAATAAAAGCATGCCTGAGTTTAATTGGGTCATTTTAACTCTCAACAGATTTCATGAACTGGTCAACTTCATTGGTTGAAGACACCGAGGTTGATCAGACCCTGGGGACTGAGAAAGTAAAGGTTAGTGTTTGTCCACAGTCAGTAAAACAAAATTAAATCAAATTAAATTTGATTATATTTCTATTTGATGTCCTTTTCGTTTGAACGTCACTTGAACACGTTCTTCTGTTTCTTAGAATCTGTTCTCTTCTCACTTTGAATATCATTTTAACCTGTTTTCTATCTCAGCCCTTTGAGCTGCTTCTCTTGTATGAAAAGTTTATTATTAAAATATGTTTCAACTCAAGACTTGATAGATTTTTCTTATTTGTGGCGTTTGGGTGGTTCGCGTTATATTTGTCCCCACATGACCCGAGCTGATGATGACAGTCATAGTCATAACGATAAACAGCCACATGTAAAAACTGTGGACCACCCAGGGTAAACATCAGGGGACAATTACATGTCCAACATCAATGAAGTCATTCATTGGGGGCCAGTGATCCCCTAGATCCGCCCCTGGATTTACCCTATTTTAATATCCCTGTGTTTTATTGTGACAGCGAGGACAGGAAGTCCCGGTGTGTTGCTCTACTCTGTTTGCCGGGGACGCTCCGGGCTCAGATACCGATCAGCGGTTGTCTCTGACAGGACAGCCGAGCCCGAACGCTCCGCTCGGGGGTGGGGATGCTCCGTTACGCACCGACGCCTCTGGAGGTGGTGTTTACGCGGGCGACTTCTGCATGAGTGACCCGGTTACAGACGAGATGTCTTCGTCCCCCGTGGAGTGAGTGAGTGTCCGGAGCGGCTGAAGTTTAGAAAGTGGACGTGTCGCGGTGCAGGACGAGGCCGGAGTGCGGGACACGAACCGGAGCTCCGCGCGTCTGGAGAGGAGCCGGAGCGCAGGATGAGACGCGGGGAAGAGAAGCACGACTCGGACATCACATCGCCGTCTTCGTGATTCACAGTTTCCCACCATGGAGGAGAAGTTCAACCGACTCATCTTCATCCCCATCGCGGCGGTGCTCTTCCTCATGATCGGGTACCAGTACGTGTGCCCGGCGGACTCCAACACCTGCTACTTCAGGAGCGAGGACCAGGGGCTGGTCCAGCGCTACTCGTCCGGGTTCGAGTTAGTTTACCCGGAGCCGGACGGGGACGAGGACCTGCCCTCTAAAATCACCGCCAGATTCAACTTCACGGAGCGGGACCTGGACCGACACGTCGACTTCAACATCCGAGGAGACGACGTGATGGTGTTCCTCCACATCCAGAAGACCGGCGGCACCACGTTTGGGCGGCACCTGGTGAAGAACATCCAGCTGGAGCAGCCCTGCGACTGCCTGCCCGGCCAGAGGAAGTGCACCTGTCACCGGCCGGGGAGGGCCGAGTCGTGGCTCTTCTCCCGGTTCTCCACCGGCTGGAGCTGCGGGCTGCACGCGGACTGGACCGAGCTGACGAGCTGCGTCCCGGTGGTGATGAACAAGAGGGACAAGAAGAGCGCCCAGAGGAGGAAGAGGTGAGGTGTCCCCCTGCAGAGTCACTCATTCATAGACTTCACCCTTATAATATATCAATGAAGAAAACCAGCTCATTCACTTGCTCACTCACTGAACTTTTAATATTTACTGACACACTCACTCACTCACACACTAACTTATTAATTAACTCACTCACACACTCATTCACTCTGTCCCCTGGTCTCTCGGCCTGATGTTGAGTGAGTGAATGAATGAATGAATGAATGAATTGTGTCCTTTAACACTGAATGCTTTGTGGAACTTGAACATTTAATCTATTATTTGTGGAGCAGTAATTTGGTGCTGATTTCATTTTGAACTGGATCGTAAGTCGAACACCTTTAGGTGATTGACAAAGTGATGAACGTGATCATTGCAACAGAGGCTTCGTTCAGTCTGTGTGAAACCAAAGATCTTCTAACGGTGCTTCGTTGTGGAACCATCTCTCCTTGAATTTTCTGTTTCCTCGGGGCTTTGCCACACATGCGAGTTCCTCTTAATTATATGTAATGCGGGGTGCAGAGGGCGTTAAAGCCGCGGTGTTAACACGCTCACCACCTGGCATGTGCAAGCAGCCAGCAGACAGAGCGTTTCCTCCTCTGAAGGTCTGATTCAATTTCCTGTAATTACAGAACCAGCAGAGCTAAGCTTAAGTGAGTAAATCACTTAAGAAGGGCAGGGTCCTCCGAGGTGTGCTGCCTGCGTGTTGAAGCCAATTTGCCTCGGAGTCGGTTCAGAGAGCAAATCACCATATGTTACCGTGAGCGTTAAAGGGAGCGGGGGGGCGACATGATATGGAGCGGAAGGGCCTTCAAGAATCCTTCCAGTCCATTAACGGCAGCCATCAGACTTAATTTAACGCTTTTAAATAGTTCTGAAGAGGCGTCTCGGAGCCGCGTCAGCACTCTGAGTGAATCAACAACACTCCAGTCAACACTTGTCAACTCTATATAATAGTTAGCGTGAAATCAGCGGTCATTAACTCTGGCACTTTGGCACTTTGCTCACATGGGCTGGCTTCATTTCTAAACATCTGGGCTCTGCACCAAATTCCCTTCTATAAAGCGTCAATTAAAGACTCGTGTTTCCATTCACAGAGCTAATGAGAGCTGTACAAACTCCTGTAGGTGTTTACTGAGAAGGATGCGTCTGTGGCGTACCGCAGCACAGACAAATCTGATTCAATATGATACTGCACCGGGCCCATCTTGAGAAGTACTCACTGATAACGTGATACTTCATCGATCCGTGCGGCGCGGCGCTCCTTCCACACAGAGGTCAGGGTTGTCCTCGATCAGGGACCATTCCGCCTCTGCTCTGTTTCACCACACAAGATTGTGATGTTAAATCCGTTAAATACAAAGGGAATATTTTTTCCTGTGATGTCTCGTAACTACTTATGGCCTCTGCCAGTGAAGTCACATGTGACCGGAGGAGGAAAGGCTCAAGAAATGCCAAATTCCCCCGTGAGTCATAATTCACTCTGTCCCCATGAATTTGTTGCATGAGTTGTGAGTCATAACTTGTTCCACAGCCACAGATCTGCCACATTAAGTGTTCACGTCCCGAAGCTTGGTAGATTTTCTGTCTGTTGACCGACCTGGTCTGGACCCTCCCTTAGATTTACTTTGATTCTGTGAGTCATCAGTGAGTGTTTTCAACTGATGTCACAGCTCAGCTTAATATTTAATACTTCTCTGATCGACCATTTAAAAGTCTCTTGTTTGGACTTAAGCGAGGTTTCTTTATATATCTATAATCCTGATCGCTTCATACTCAGTACCTGAAGTTAAGACATAATCGTCAAAGTCTGAACCCATTTCATGGATTTCAAATAGTGCCAAAGACAATCCAACTTAGTGATGGTGATGCTGAGTTGCCTGATGCGAGTCACATATAGCAATAGGAGTGCAGACAGTCAGGGATAAAACATCATGGGAATGGATGACGCCCACGCTCACCTTCAGGCTACAAGCAGAAGGGTGTGACGAGTCTTATCTCCGCTCACTCTTCACTGGGTTATTTAACTCTCCAGCACAAGAGAGAACATTTCCTAAAGATCCCTCTCACAGCACTAACGGCACACTTTTTATTTAAGTTGACTTCTGACGTTTTCTGGAACAATATCAATGTTGAGCTCGTCACTTCCCTGTCACCTCTCTCCTTCACCCCCCGCCAGTGGAAACACATAACAAATACAAATACACTGGAAAATCACGGCATGTTCTTTAATTGTGTGATACGTGTGTTTGTGGGATTGTGGGTAAATGTGTCTCAGGAACATCCACCAAAAAAGAGGATGAGAGGATCAGTAATAAGCTCCTTGGATACCAAACGAGTTCGCATAGCAACCAGTTTTAGTTTTGTTAAAACGGACTGACGAACGTAAGTAGCATATGCTGCATTAACTCACGCGTCTGGCAGATTCCCCAAAACTCAAAGAAAATACGTGGCCGGCTCAAGTAGTTTTTGATTGGCACGCCACTGGTCAGAGGCTCCTGCAGGGCTTTGCTCGCAGCATGTGGCTACAGCATTCACATCGCAGCGGGCGACAAAATTGCTGTAAGGCCAGACGTCAAACCTGCTTCAATTGCCGGGCTGCGCTGCTCGTCCTTGGCAGCTGGTCCCACACTGTGCAGTCAGAGAGTGTAACCTTATTACTGACCTCATTATTTCAGATTAGGGCAGAGAACGCAGGACGGCCAAATCACGCCTCAGGACCAGTCCAATTAGCTCAGTTCATTCTGGGCACAGTCAAAATGGTTCCTGCTATTCATCTGGCCACTGCTCCCTGTTACTAATGATGATAATGGAGTAATGGGCCTGGAAATATGCAAAAATAAGCAGCTTCAGTCGGAAAACAGAAATGAAATTATGATGAAAAAGACGATTTTTTCAAAATGCAGTTTTTTAGATATTTGATTTTCTGTTTCCTCCATTTTTCTCAGACATTCACAGTCGACCACGAGGAAAGAAAAAGTGTGGTTACACGTTTTTGAAGTAAATCTGCCTTTGCAGTTACAGCGAGTCACTTTAAATCCTCGGCTTAAGAGAGACATATGCGGAGATTTCAGAAAGGGATGTATGTAATTGAGAAAATGTGATCCGTTTGAAGCAGAGAGAATTTCCAAATGCTTTGGGCGTAAAGCTGCCGCGTTGCTGCCACCGTTGCTTTTGACTGTGAAGTCGGTCTCTGAGCTTACACATTAGGTTTTTTCAAGCTGCTGACAACTGCACACAGTATTGTTAAAACTACAAGTGACAGGAACAGCGATTGTGAGAAAGATGTGACCCTCGGTGACCAGAAATCTAAGGAACTGCTCCCTGTGGATCTGAGGTGCCTTGAAATCAGACTGTAAATAACACGTTCTTACTCCGAGCAATGAAAAGTTGAATGACTTTGCAGTAAATGCACCACTGCTCTATTTAATACACTCAGGTATCTGGTATGGCTGAAAATGACAATTATGTATTTTTGCATTTATGTAGATATTGAAAATAATAAGATATTTACATATACTGTCAATATTTCACAAATACAATCATCCTGTGCTTCTCTCCCTCTCCACATAATATTCTGTCTGCAGTGAAAGGTGCATCTGTTCGTGTTCTCTGTATTTTCTTTTGCCTATTTTTAATCTCTACTATCTCGTCTACCTCATTTTGACGACTGCGGCTGTAGCAATCATGTGATCTTCTCCTGAAGATGTAAAGTTGGTGAATTAGATCCTCCACTTGTCCTGCATTAGGAGACAGTTTGCATTTGACTCAAGTTCTGATTCGTCACTTCTTGTGGGAGTATGTACAGTACCTGACACCAGGATTTTATTTTTAGCGGAGAGTGAATGTACGGGTCCTTTGAGAGAGCCTGTGCTGCAGCCTGATGTTGTGATATGCTGCGGGCTGATGAATCTGTAAGCTCTCCTCAGGTGGAGAATACTTTTAGATATTGGTCAATATTTCTTATCGATAAACACGACCCCGGTTTACGTCTGCGAGGTGAGGTGTGGATGTTCAGCGGGCTCATTCAGGGCGGCTGTGCTGCAGTAAATCTTCATCAGCCCGTTGATGATGTCGGACTGCATCAACAATATCACCTTCTGCTCGTTTTGGTATTTGGTTATTTAACTGTGTCAGAATTATAGCGAGCATGAGCTTGATGTCATGATTCACTGCAGCTTGAGGATAACATTAATAATTAGTTCCAACCATAGACGACGTATAAAGAGGGAAGATATGATGACGGAGCCAAAAGTTGCTCCTGATAACTTTGGTTTTCATCAGTTATTTGATGATATAAAAATAATTGACTCACAAATGTTCCAGCACATGTACCGGGGGGGGG